AGATGTGGTACTGTATGGTTCTCTTTGCTGTGCAAGAAAGCTTATCTTATTGTCTTCTAAATTCTCTGAGAACGGTGTTGCTTTTAAAGTCTGATGCGGTTCGCTCCGCATTGTGCGTTTTGGACGGATCGTTGTGTTTCTTTGACTGCAAGAGCCGATTTATTAGCGATGAGATATCCTGGATTTCCGTTCGAGCGGTGCGACGTCCATTTGTAGAGAGTTTTTCGCATTTATGTCCAGTTTTGTTGAAATAGGGGGCTCTGCCTACGTCCTCTTTCTGCGGATTCTCGAATTGTTTTTCATGAATCCACTCGAACAAACATTCTCTTGTGGTCAGTGTCTTCGACCAATGCACGTACTGTGGAGACCGATGCGACAGTTTGTAGTAGTTCAGTCGATCGGAGGAATATGAGATAGTTGAGTGAAGATTATTTATTTATTTATTTTGTCGTTTAGTGTGTTCTATACGACCCTCGTAGATGGAACTGTGTCATGATGTTGAGTACTCAAAAGTTTTTAATGTATAGGTGTTCACTCTTTGATATCTGAACTATCCTGAGAGTGACAGAAGAGAAAACAAATCAGTTTCATGATACTGCAGTTGTTCTGTAAGATGTAGGTGTTAGTGGTATCTGTGGCGTTGGGTTTTCAATGAGGATGTTGGAGAACGGTTCGCTTTCTGTGAAGTGTTACACGATGAATATCTGAATGCTTGTGTCCGTTTGTTGGTCGTCACTTGGTCTTCTTTATTGCTGTAGTTTCAGCGTAAATCTCAAACTTGAGTAATCAAACTTTTCTATTTATGCCAATATATGATGAACACGGTCTGCTGATTTTTACATCATACATACGAGATGCAGATATTCTACAATTGGTATAAAGAGCACACAAATATAATTTGTTCGAGCAAGTCTCGAAGATACTCTTCTCCTACGAATGCTTGGCTCATATTTGTACCAAATGGAAAGTAAGTCTATGCACCTTAGTTTTCTTAGTAATGTATACCCGAATATGACTCAGTGACTGAATAAGTTGAATAAATAAATCAACGAAGTCTCCAAATTTATTCCAGGAATGGCAGTAATATTACTGCATCAATTTAGGAAACAATATCAGTGAACTTCGATTGCAACTCAATGCTGCGCTTGAAAATAACAGCAATCTCCAGGTCAGAAACGAAGCTGTGGAGAAAGAGTGTAATTCACATCTAGTATGTCAACACATTCTAAAAATTACTACTGTAAAATCTCTCATATCCTTCTTTCTTTTCAATCAGACACAATCATTGTTTTGCTTAAGGTGGCTTTGCGATCCAAAGAGGAAGATATCCATCAGATTGTTGCAGCTCCTCCACAGAGTGGAACATGAAAGGAATGAACTTATGCAACACTACGAAGACTTGAGGGTAATGTTTACTCACATATGTAGCCTAGTTATTGCTGTTATTTGTATGTAATATTCAAAGTTCTTTGGTTCTTATAGAGAGAACACACCGAACTTCAAGAGAATGCTGCAAAATGGAAAATTGAGTTTGAAGAGGAGCTCAAAAACTGAAAAGGAGGTAATAAACTGATTGAATCTTGATAGTACCAACTTACTCTCTGGTTCTTGCGTCTGTTTTAGGCACGTGGACGAGTTGAACAACAAGGAAAATGCTATAGAACTGGAGCAAAATGCGCATGAGATGACAAGAGTAAGTTCGATTACTCTTTGCTCTACAAGCTTTTCATTTTCATCTTTTTCGTCTCAGCTATATACAATTCAACAAAGTGTGATATTAATCTCGTCTGTCGTCGAAATTGAATACCAATATGGTTATCATTCATCGGCTTTGCCTAAGTTTGTTTGAGGGCCATGGAGAAAGTATCACATTTTTTAGACGAAATCCTTTACTTTGCAGTTTTCTTTGCTTGAGAGTATTCACAGGCAGCCTGGCATGCTCTAGCATTTGGGATAAGAATGCTTTGTGATGGCCCTCTGGGCTGTCTACTAGAAAATATCCATATCATTCAAGGCAAACTTGTGCATGTATGTGTCGATACGGAAGTCTATTAGGAAAATTTGAAAGATCAAAGGCAGATGAGGCAGATTGACCACATCGTTTTGAATCACATTGATGACCGCTTATTGTCTACGTCTAACATCATATTCTACCGTATCCTCAATCTTTTAGGATATTTATTGTTCTAATTTTGCATATATGATTTTTTAAGCAGCAGTTCGTTTCTTATCGTGAGAGCATGCAGGAAACATTCGACCGCAAGTTGGCTGAACTGAGAGAGTACGTACTATCTAGTTTTTTGTTACTGATTCTCGACTACATCTACTTTATACTCGTCTTCCATCCTCTACAATTTTTTGGCAATATTTTAGAACTTTTTCGAACAAGGAGAGACGCATGACCATAGACATGAGTGAGAAGGATGAGCAGATCATTCAATTACAAGCCGAGAAAAAGCTGTAAGATGCTTGAATTTACAATCGTACCATCATCAACTGTATATAAGTGATCGTGAATGTGTTTTGATTCATATGTGAGACGTCTTGGGTATTTACAGATTGACTGATAAGTGCAGTATATTGGAGGAAATAAAAGATGAAGCAGCACGCAACAAAGCGGAACTCGAAGAAACAATGAGGGTCAGTCAGATTCATCACCTCCACTTTCATTGTTCAACCATCTAACCCGTGATTTACATTTGTTACTGTTTAGGAGCTGACACTGTTGCGAGAAGAGAAATCTGAAGCTGACCGCGCTGTGACTGAGCTTATCGGTCATAACAACCACAAGCAAAAGGTACGTTGAAAAACTTCCATAAGAGAGCACAACTTAGATTTAACACTGACCATCGCAGTGGCAGAATTTTCGTCTGTTCTCGTGAGAAACTTCGTGACGTGAAATTTTTCACGTTTTTCATTGCCAATGATGGGGCAAAGTAGTTCGTAAACAACGTGTGTGGTATACTTTAACCTTCAGAAGGGATTTAGTCGTCTGGCGGCTTCTTGTCTCAAACTTAACAACTTTTCAACTGCAGTAAGAAAACAGAAAGTTGTTTCGCACTGCTCTTTAATTTGTTTCTTCAGCTTCGCTTTTTTATGTTAGGGTTTATGATTATGTGGAATCTGAAAGAACAATTCGTGAAGCCTGTTCTCATCCCTATCCTTAATAGGTGAACTATTTGGAAAAAATTCGATATGAAAACCACACTCTAAGGAAACGCGTTAAAGAATTAGAAGCAGAACAAAAACGCTTCCGAAATACGCAGGGAAATACAAAGGCTGTTCCGACAACATCTGGTATCGTGACGAGATCGAGAGCTCAGAGTGGAACAAAGTGGTAACATTTTTGAGATCAGTATTTTGTTGTTGAAAAACGGCGGGCTCAGGGTAGGACCTAGTGTTCTCATGATGCTAAGGTCTCTAGTCTATTTTTTTTTCAAATATCGAGTGCAGGGTGCAACAAAGTAATTGTTTTTTAGCCAGTAGTCTTTCTTTGAGAGCGTGTCCTGATCTTCTGGATAAGATTCTATCGCTCATATCAATATTAGATCTCTGTATACGTGTTCTAAATGAGTCGTATTTTTCATTTTCACCTCTCACTGTCATTGCTGTTATTTTTTCTTGGAACTACTTTCTGTAAAAAGTGATGTTGTAGGGGATCTGCATTTATTATTTTTATATGTGAGATGTTTTTTTTTTCTCATTTTTTGGCACTGCAGTCTTGAAACGATAAGTAATGCCAATTTGAGCAATGTGAAATTTGAAGACAGAAGATTTCTATTTCAAGATGATTTGTGAGTTGTATCAATCATGAATAGGGTAATATAGAAAACTTGCTAAATTCGTTTCATGTTCGTTCACTTGTAAATTTGAGGAGTCTTTGGATTTGTATAATAACATATTCTTCATTACATCATTGTTTTGTAATTGAAACAAGGTTCCCATACATGAAGGATAAAGCTCGGCGTTGATTAATCGCTGAGAGCTGCGCCATGCATTCGTCTTCAACTTTTAACTTTGTTTGGAATGATTGCTTGCATATCTGGGCTTTAAAACGATTTTCGGTAGCCTTCTGTTGTATCGGGTCAGTGCCGCTTATCCTCTCGGACAAGTCTGAGACCAGTCCGGCACCGATTTAGCGACACCTGAGGGACGGACGACTTGGTGATCCATGAGCGGGAGATCGAACCATCGACCTTATGTGAGGAGCATAGCATCACTGACCACTGTCTCACATGAGCTCTTCCATACATAAGAAGAGCAAAGAGGGTCATCGATTTACGATCGAGCGATGAATAGCTCTCTCAACGGTTATGAAGCAATAGCAGGTCTTATCGTGACCGCGCGATTTCGTAATTCTTCATAATAGTAGGCCTGAAATGTCATGGATGTTCACTCTTTGTACAACTAGACGGTTTTGACTGTCTTGCCTCAAACAGGTGCTTGCATACGAACTGGTAACGTGCAAATAGCCGAGCCACTCTAGTGACGATAGCCGCCTACAGAAGTTCGATCCGGCCCGACAAGGTGATCTACGATTCTCCGCTGACGAAAGAGTGCGTTGGGTTCTGAAAGAGAGAATCGCTTGAGCCTCATTCCATGCACTGAGGTTGCAGTATTCGTCGCGCATGATCTGCTCCATCTCTATGGGGGAACCGTCACTCTTTCCTTTGGTCTTTGGTCTGCGAGCTTCTTAGTCAAGTGAGTAGCGAGGTCTCTTCTGGCGTTGTCAATGTCTTCCCAAACTCAAAAGCTTCATTAGCCACTACTGCTTATGACTCCGTAAGATCTTTCATCACTTTTTCGCAGAGCGTTACAAGTTCGGCGCTAGTCGAGGATTAGATAGCGTTTTTGAGATTCAGAGTCGACGTAGAAACTAGATGCTTCTGCGTACAAAAGTCCTTTAGTAAACTGTACGTCAGAGAATTGTGTGATAGACACAAACTGAGAAAAGAAAGAAAAAAATTGGAAGGTTAAAGAATGAGTGGTAGCGAAATGATGCATCGGTGGCGTAGTGGTAGCACGCGCCCCCGCTATGGGACTAACGCGGGTTCAACTCCCGCTTGAGGTCGAAATTTTGCTTACCACTCCTTCTCTTGGGTACATTTGAAACATCATAACAAGCAGTAAAATACAGCAAGTCTTGAGTATCAATGTACTTTAGTAACTGTTGGACCTCAGCCTTCATAGCGCTAATGTGAAGATGATAAATAGGCAGATTGCATTTCTTGTTGATGTTGTCAATAATGCTATTTTCCCAAAAGTCGACTTTCCATCTATAATGACCCCAGTTTTCAAAGAATTCGAGATGTTATCTCCTGAACGTGTAGGCTTGCTCACTTTCTTGCAAAATGTGGAATTCCAATTTTTGAATTACGGACCGGTAGCTGAATGGCTAGTGATGCTTAGCGTGGTTCGATGCGGGGTCGATCTCCCGCCCTTCCGCTCGACCAGTTTTCTACGATGTTCATGGAGAAAACGAATTATCAATTGAGCGATCAAATGAAAAAAATCTCTCCACGACATCCACTTCCAGATAGCCATTGTCGGTACTGTTCCATTACGGCGGTGCCACTTGATGCCTTCGGTAAAAACGTATTTTTTGCTCTTGCAAAACGCCTCTGTAGCATATCGATAGTTCAAATCAAGTGAATTTCAAGGAATTTCTCATTTGAAGATTTTTCACTGGATGAAAGTTTTGTTGTAGTGAACTTCTAATCGCAAGATAGGAAAATCTTTGCGATTATAATGGTATATTTGGCTTTCGGAAAGGAGTTCTTCGAGCTTTGTAACAACCGAAAGAATATTGGGTTTCGCACTCAGTGAGAACTTCTAGTCGGCTAGAGCGCGAATTGCAGAGCTCTACGATCTTTTCAAAGAGCAAACAGATTTTCTTAATCAGAAAGATTTGCTCTATCTAGTGACTAAAACTTGTTATGAAAAAGCTTTTATCAGGCGAGAAATCTTCATAGGTGAAACAAAATCTCATTTTGACTGATACGGCATTAAAAACAAGTAATATGAGGAATAAAATGCATTTTGAAATTCACTTGATTTGAGTTATCAGAAAATCATACATTCGTCAGTTAACAGTAAAAAACACGTTTTTACCGAAGGCCTCAAGTGGCGCCGTCATAATAAAACAGTACGCGATCGTCTAACAAAGTGCCTGAAAATAAAATAACAGAAATAGAGTGGTGGCAAATAGGTGCTGGTGGTGTAAGGGGTTAGCGCAGCCATTCACGGTTATGGTTGAATGCGGGTTCAAGTTCTGTCTGACGCAAAAGATTTGCACATCACTCCACATCATTTGGAGTATATTCATACTATCATACCACTGCTGTGAAGCAGTTAAATGAAAAGAATTCTCTTCCTCACAGATAAAATAACAGCCAATTACGGATCAAATTCCATTTTTATTTTTTTAATATTTGCTTGACATACAGTGGACGATGTTAATTTCCTGATATCTGCCAACTTTTTGATAACCGAATCTCAATATCACGGAAAATGGCCATTAATTGTTTTTCGGTTCAGAAGGTGAGTAAGGTTGCAGCAGGCTTACGCAATGCGCAGGAGAACAATGCAATGTTCCCATGGATAAAAATTTGATGGATCAATCGTTTCGGTATTCCATATAGCAGCTTCCTCGGAACAACTATGCTTTTGGGCTCTACGAGAGCACAATTCCATTTTGATAGAGTTTTATCAACGCGAAAACTTTATTCGCTGTCTAATCGCACTTTGCATCATAACGTCCGCAGTTTCTTAAATTATCCTCAGAGTTTGGTCCAGACTTTTCAGGAATGGAGAGAGTGAAGACCTGCCGAATATCGAGTGAGAGATGGAATTGTCCTGGATCCTCAGATCAATCCACCGTAATTTGCACAAATGTTGACGAGATGGAAAAAATGACAATGTGCAAAGTAAGGCAGACAGGAATTAAACGGATGAGGCCGTATTGACATTATGCAAGGAACCGATTACTTATCAGGAGATATCGTGGGAGAAAAGGATACGAGGTGCAGTGAAAGGGCAACCAGCTGCACAATGCTCTAATGGCTCATTGTGATTAAAAAGTTGCGCAAAGTGTTGTATACTGTCTGAAGAGTTCATACAGAAGGCCTTTTCGCTTATGAGGCGATCGATGGATGTCTGAATAATTTAGGACGGCTAGTCGGATGGGCCAGAGTGATGCATAAATGCTGCGAAGCAATTCTCAAGTCACAAAAATTGTCGTCATCATTGAAAGTGCATGGTTCAAATTAGCGATCATCTAATTGGCCTCAAGAATCATTGTTTTCACCGAACAATTCTCAAACTTCTGTGTCATCACTTAACATCATTATGTATACTTATACCACCATACCACCACCATAAAGCGCTTGAATAAAAAAAATTCTTAGCAGTCATTACCACTATCATAATCATTAGATTAACGAAAGCATAATCATTATCATTATCATCAATATTACCACATTCACTACCGAATGATAGTATGGTTCATCTTAGCAGCTACAAGTTCGACTGCCGGTCAATGCAATGCATTTGCATTGAATGAAATGCATTGTGTGAGTGCTTCTATCAGATCCCGCAAACAGCTCAAAAGGGTGGCAGTCGTTATCACCTTCGTAATCATTAGCATTAACGAAAGCTTAATCATTATCATTATCATCAACATTACCACAATTAACGCAAAGATATACTTCACGCGTCCACCTTCTGACAGATGCATAGCCTTTTGTAGACATGCTCGCATAAAAGATCGCATTAAAAGCATACACCTATAAATGCACATAGATTCAATCAATGACAGATTTGCTGGAACTGGATCTAAGTGTAACTCTCTAAAACTTTGAAAAACACCGAAATTATTAACCTTTGAAAGGTTCTTTGCGTCTGAGCTTCTTTGGCATATTAGTTGTAGATTAAAAGTTTATCACTTCATCGTTGAGCCAGTCAAGACCAGGTAACGTCAAGAGGTCCATCCTCGTTAACTACAAAAAATAAAGATATAGGGAAAACAAAATGTTCAAAGCAAAAATCTGTAGATATAATAGGTTCCGTAATTCATATAAAGCAAACAAGGGTCACTGGTAGGATAGTTCACCACGATCATGGAATTAAGTTGAGCAGCATAGCTGTCCAACGCACAGACAACTTAGACTTGTACCAAATATGGACCACAAGCACTCGTGTAGTAGATGGAACGATTCCTAGTTTTTAGGTATATAGCGTCAAGAGACCAAACTCAACCAAATATGATATCTTTGCGTACGACATCCTTCCAGTACCAGTACACCTCAGCGTCCACAGGTGTGTAGCGGTGAGTTTATGTTTACAAGATTTCGAAGAAATTTCTCAAGAGATTATTTTCGTTCAGGTACTTGATTTTGTGGAGAAACGCATTGACTATTACGATTCATTACTCGGAGGAAACCAAAAGTGCCTCGATAATCTTAAGTAAGTTGCGTGATGTGTTTTCCCATTTCAAATGAATAAAATGCTCTTTTAACAGAGCCCACCTCAATGAAGAATACAAGGATAAAAAGACGCAGATTTTCGATTTCAAGGGGTGAAACTTCAATTTACGTACGGTAGGGATTTCTTCAACAAAGTTGATATCTCATTTACACCACTTGTCTTCACATTCGATTTATTTGCTTGCATGCATCCTCACGAAACTCATCGGAAATTTCGCGTATCGTTTTGACCGCTGCTTGAGGATTTCGTTTTCTTCATGAAGTAGACGAAGAGTTTTAGTGGAGGAATCCCTGTGCAGTCTCGGAGTAAGAATTGACACGCTCCTCAGAGCTTTGTTGATTGACTGCAAGAGAGTATTGGGAGGGGGGTCGAACCAATACCTTCTTTGCACACTGATTGACTGCATCTTTAATCACTCGACTACCACTTCCTGACCGCTCCTCTCTCCATCTTTTCCTTCCTTCCCTTCTCCCTTAACGTTATGTTTGATGTTTTCTTAGTGTGCATATAGCAAACCTCTCATAAGAATTTTGCAATCTTTTCGGGATTTACATGATAATTTAGGCAACGCAGATGGTCCATGACTCTAGAGAGCAAGTGGTTTCGCAGAGGTTCGAGGACCTTAGACAGAAAATGGTCCAAGTGTCGAGGGCGGCACCCAGCTGCCAGCAACCTCAACAATCAGTCCGATCCCGGGGCACCATCCGAACGGTCGTTTGACTTCATCCAGACCACACAACCTCAAATCGTCATCAATCCCTCATTGCTCTCTCCATACAATCTCGTTATCGTGTAACCAACAGCTTTCATAGGGTTGCGTTTATACAACTGTCAGATGAACTCCATAGAATTGAAGAGGAACATAGTGCTTCCGTGACGGAGCAAACTCACTTAGGCTATGCTCGGCCCGCCCCCTCGGTTGAGGGATTCTACCCATATATAATCAGTAGTAACCCCTCTGCTAACACTATATACTCACCAACTGGATCCCGCCACCGGTGCTTCTACTTCGGGGCGAACATAGCAGCCCCAAACGGTCTCCGCCGCTTAGTCATGCTCCGTCACTTAGAATAACATCGTCACTCACAGTAACATTGTCACTTACTATAACACCATCACTTACAATAACATCATCACTTAGAATAACATTATTACTTACACTAACATCGTCAGCTACAATAACACCACTTACTATAACTGTCGCTTACGATAACATTCATAGTATCGTCGGATGACGATACCTCTCATCAGTCGGTCACTCATATTGACCCAGGCATATGATCGCTTAACGATATGTCGTAATCACGTATATGTTATCATCACATTAATGTATGTATATTATAAGTTGTTTTGTACAACGACATTGTTTGGTACCACGACATTGTAGGTTCCATCCCATTGTTTGGTATGACCCGTATAAACCACTGAACCTTCACAATACAGTACGAATCCACTGAACCACAACATATAAATTAGTACATTGGCTACAAATATTTGCTGCAGTGCAATTATCGTTTTCGTCTTGTAATCATGGCTGATATAAACCTTGTTTATTGCATAGAATTTACCTTATAAAACGGGGATCTT